ATGCCCCAAAATAATAAGCAAAGTGAAATGTCAAGGCACCTGCCAGCTGACAGTTGTGTTTACATATTAATTTCGAGAATTGGCTACATGCATGTGCCTATTCTTATAAGCTTGCAGTTGTGAATATTTCCTGGTGTGATTAGAGTTGAACCCATCTGTGATTAGTATATCTGTCCCTGTTGTGATTGGAGTTGCTTTTACATATGAGCTTCAGCTGTTACACATAATGTCAAAGTTAAAGGTTTGGATTTAAATAGGGCTCGCAAATGTTGGAATAAACCTTCCTTATACCTTTTTTTTTCAGCGAGTTATGCATTGCTTATTACCTACTTATGACGTCTTGAAGCTGAAAGGTTAGAGAATTGTTTGTACAATACACGAGGAAGGTTTGGAGCATATCCTTATTGTTTTCTGCTTCATTTGGTGGGCCAGTATATATATTGGTTGTTTCATCTACTATTTTAAATATGATTACTAGCTACTTTAACAAGAGTCTTAACTTTGGGAAGTTTAAGAAGGCTAGCATTTCGATGTTTAAAAATGTTCATGAAGTTTATTATGCATGTTCCTTTTTGAATGCATCTTTGGTTGTCTGAAATAAACTTATGGAAGGTTTTGTTACAGTAGATTTAGATGGGTGTTATGAAAATTTTGCAGCAATTGTTTGTCTCTTAGAGCTGAGTTGTAATTGGGGTTGAAGTTGGTTTCATGGTTCATGAGTTTTTTTTTTCTTGAGCTGAGTTGCAATTTGAAGTGAGCATCAAAATTCTGTACTGTTATGAAATTACAAATTTGTCATGCAACATATATATATATATATATATGTCTGTATTTTGTGCTAATTGTGTAATAAAATAAGAGTTATAAGAAGTTCTTCACTTCGATTTCTTCAGCTCCTCCTGCGTATTTTCTTATATTTGAGTTTACTTTCTTCTTATTCTGTCAATCTGAAAAGATTTCTTTGTTTCACCTACATTTTATTGTTCCTATAATATTAAAAAAAATTATTAAAAAAATTATATCACATTAAAAAAAATTATATCACATGACAAAATATTAATACTAACGTTTTTAAAATATACCACAACTTTTCAAAGATAGGTAAATTTATATAATTATAAAAATTAAATTTTATTTGCTAGATAGGATGCAATACAAAAATAAAAGATTCATTTAGCTTTTATATTTTAAGTGTGGTGGTATGTAATTTTGTTAAGAAATTAAATTTCAGTTAATTTATTTTCAAATTAGTGTAAAATGTAAATTATAAAATGTAAATTATTGAGTAGTAGAATTTATGTTACATATAATTTAAAAATAATTTTTTGAAAATTAAAATTTATAATGTCAGAATCTACAGAAAACTACAAATCGGTTGTTTTCCAATCACACAAATCATACAGCTAAACAACTTATTCATAACAGGGGCAGAATGATCATTTATTCAGAATCAGTAGTTTTCCAAACACATAAACCAAATAGTCAGACAACTTATCTGGATCAGCTTCTAGTCAACAGATTATCAGGATAAGTTGTTTATCTGAATAAGATGGATAAGCTGCAACTGCCCCAAGCAGACCCCAATCTTCTCTGATCTTTCTTTGTCCCTATAATTATCTATTGTTAAGATTCCGTTTGAGATCAAATTTTATTTTATTCTCTATTTATTATTATTATTTGAAATAAAATATAATTAATATGCTATAACATATTTTGTTATTTTAATATATATTAAGAATAGTTTTTTAGAAGTTTTAAGTGTTTTCAAAATTAAGTTAATTTATTTTTAAAAATAAAAAATAAAAAATATATATTAAGCAAATATGTTTTCAAAATAAAAGAGAAAAAAAAAAGATGTGACCCAAACAAGTCCGAATATTTTGTGATGATTTTGCTTGTGGAGCTTTTTGGTATGTGGTATAGGATAGCTAAAGAAACTACATTTTTTTTCTTTTGAAAGTTGTCTTTTGCTTTAAAACAAAATAAAAAAAGTACAAAAGAGAGTTATAGAGCTACACAAGAGAACCAACATGATTGACTTCTTCCTCAACCACATTCAAAAAATCAGATTCACAAGTGTGACCCTCCCAAAAGAAAACCCTATCTAAAACATGCCTAGCACAAAAATGGGCCGCCCTTTTACATTCTCTATCGATAAAGAAGAATAAAACTTGCTTAAAATCATACAAAAAAGAGAGATCAAAATCTCTGTGAATAATAATTTAGCACTTTTATTGATACCATGCCCATTTTGGTTTGTGAATTTAAATGTATCATACTAGGCAGACAACATTTATGACTATCTCATGTCGGGGTTAGAAGCTTATGTCTTGCAAGTATTTTCTGGTGGTGTGTTTTCGTGGGCATCTCTTTTCAATCTATTAAAGAGCACGAAGGTTTCTTATATTTTGAATGTTAAGCCGCTTTTCTTTTACATTTTGAAAAAACACGACAATTTTTATATTTAGAAAAATGTGTTTTTGACGTATAAAGGGTGTAATTTATTCATAGAAGGTAACTCTATTTGGATCTACTGATGAATTTTACAGCACTCTAATTGCTATTTTCATTTTCTACCTTTTGCTTGGAGTTTACTTTGTAATTTTTTTCTTATTTTCTTTCCAGCTAACTTGGTATATTTAATGTTTTGAGCAACATTCTAGTTTGGTCTAATTCTATATATTTTTCATAATAGAACAACTAAGATTTTACAAAATACTACTACCATTTTAGTCTGTTAAAACTTTAACATTAAGACTCTTTTCTATATATATATATATATATATGTACCATCCATTGAACATTCCACATTGCAGAAAATTGGATATCTATAAGATGCTAAATGAAAATTACCTTTTAAGAAAATAATGTTTGCGCTAAGATTTATGTTAAAAAATTAAAGTGAAGAAAAATAGGAATCGACACAAATCCAGAAGAACACGCAGAGATTTATAAGGTTGGACAAAGATGCATACTTCCTCGGGAGCAGAGCGGCAACTTCCTTTTCAATATTCAGAAAAGAATATAAAATACAAGATTAAGAATCTCGGAGTCTCAGAGACTCGCCTGAGGTTACAAACAAGACATATATATAACCCTATAGTACAATATATAATTACTTAAATTACCCTTGTGCTAAACCACGAGGTGTTGCCCCCGCACACCCAACCTATATAATGAAACCCTCCCGATTGGATAGATCCTTCTGCTCCACTCCGCTCGTGGGCTCTGCTCCGCTCCAGCATCTGTCGCATTTATGGTATATGAGTCATACCTAATAGCTTACATACAAGCCACACAATGTCTGCGTATTTATACATCTAACACCAAAATTTTGAATTTTACATTTATAGCATTTTATGTGTGCATTAAAAGGTGGATCTCATTTTAAAAAAATAGATTATAATGATATTTCTGATGAGATATTTTATAATCCGATTGTTATGAATATAAAAGTTACAATTTATGTATCCTTCTAAATATTTTATAATTTTTAGATTATTAATTTCTATTTAGTAGGCGTTTACAAGCATTGAAAAGTTTATTTCCATTGTGATTTTGCATTTTTTTTATAAATATTTTATGTTTTTCAAATTAATAACTTTCAACGTCCTTAAGCATTTTGTCAATTTTGAAATTATAAAGTAAGTTTGTTTTTTTTTTTTTTAATTTTTAGTTTTATATTACAATTTTTTAAATTGTTCATCAAGTAAGGAAAAGTAAGGGAAATGAATAAGTAAATTTTGAGAGCATTAAATTTTAAAAATTATTTGTATCATAGCTCTCATTTACAGAAAAAATATTACATCAGGACTCCGCAGGTAGAGCTACATGCGGAGTCAATTGCGAGCTGACACGTGATCATAAACCCTGAATATTCCCTTCGCGTTATTCTAAATGTTTTTCGCATTATTCCTGTGTTATTGATGTGTTATTGAGGTGATTTTGAGATATTATTGTTCTTTAAGCAATAATACCAATAACACATGAATAACGCGGAAAATATTACTTCAATAACACAACAATAACATATGAATAACACATTAAAAAGGTGTCACCCGGCTCGACCGTATTTTAGGAATATTCTCTTCGCGTTATTCTTAATATTTTTTGTGTTATTCATGTGCTATTAATGTGTTATTGATAACACATCAATAACACAGAAATAACGTGGAAAATATTCAGAATAACACGAAGGGAATATTCCTATAATACGGTCAGGTCGGGTCGACGTGTCAGCTCGTGATTGACTCCGCATGTAGCTCTACCTACGGAGTCATGATGTAATATCACCAAATACTTAAGTATTTACATATCTAACTTCAAAAATTTGTCTTTTTACATTTTCAGCTCTAAATACCTCTATTTTAACTTTTATAAAAGTGATGCATTTCTTTTCATGGATAGGTAAAGTGACTTATATATAAAAATATTAATTTTAGGTGTTAGATATGTAAATACATAAGAATTGAGTAGCTTCTATCTAAATCTTACTAGATTTTTATCAAACAAATATGAGATAAAAAATATAGATAGCCAGGGAATGCAAATCAATTAAATCCATCAAATTCCTCAATTTAACAGTAAAACATTCCTTACAAATTGTTTAAGTCCAATTAAAACTGCAAAGCATTTACTAAGTATTATATTATCATTAAGAATAATTAACTTCATTTCAAGGCTTTATTGATCAATATTTCTTCCATGTTCTTCACCTGCAACTGTAACACACCTTCTGCGAACTTTCCTTCAAACATCAACCAATATGCTTCCCAATAATATGAAAATAAACCAATTGCTTGTACTAAGATAATAACATCAGTCCTTAGAAAATAAAATAAATCTGCAAAAAAATATGGAAAAGAAGCATCTTGTAATACATTTTAAAGCAATGAGTCCAGATGAAGAAAAATAGTAGATAAAATAGTTTCCAATGTGCAAAATGAGAGTTCAGTCATCTCTATAATTTGCATAGCCTGTTGAGTTAGCTATATATAAACATTTTCATGACCTTAAACAACTACAATGCATAGCCATTAATTTCCTGAAGAATTATATCTGCAACTGCAACTTCTTTGTAAGTTTGCATCGTCTCCCTTGAGGTATGCGGCACCCGTTTGTCAATTTGCATACATGCCACACAATTCCTATGTTTTTTACATATCGAAGCACCCCCAAAGTTTGATATTTACAGATTGCTGAAAGTGAAAATGAAGGAAACTGTTCTGGCAATGAGCTTTCTTTTTCTGCTGATTTCATTAACAAATGTGGATGGAAGGTCTTGGTCTGAGTCCAGGCACAGTAACAAAGGTAATAATTTAAAAAATCTTTTATGTCAGATTCAATCTATGGTGTTTGCTCTAAAATGTTCAGAAAAAAACAGAGAAGTTTTCAGCACATTTGGGTTTGTTTGAAGAGATTGGAATGCTCTCCATGGAAGCCTGCAAAATTCTGCCTTCTGAACTGAAGTCAAAGGTATGGATTTCATAGCTGCATGTAAAAACAAATTTTTTAGATATATACCACCCAATTCATATGTATTTACATATTGTGCTTCTAAACTTTACTTATTCCATTTATACCACCCAAAACTTGTATATCACATCAGAAATATACCTTTCATGCATACGTCAGGTGCATATAAGTAAAAAATTAAGGGTGCGTTTGGAGCAGTTTGTGCTTATCCAGATAAACTGCTCAAACGTAGTTTCCAAACGATGAGGCGGCATTTTGAAAGCGGATAAGCTGCCCCCAAACGGAGCCTAAGATTTAAGTGTTAGACATGTAAATGCATAAGAATTAAGTGGTATGTTTGTAAATCTTCCATGTATTTTATTTTTTCAGTGCCTAGATACATCTGAAGCATATGTGCATAGAACAACATTGGCTCTGAGAGGACAAGTTGATGAAGAAATACTATGCAACCGCACCGGTCTGTGCTTCATGAAATCAGTAAGAAACATAACAGTGGAGTTTTAAATTGTTCATTCATAAACTTTTTTTTTTTAAATAAATGATGAATGCTAATGGCTTCTTTGATCGTAGTAAAATTGTGAAAATAAATTAGTTTATTTTAAAAATACTCAAAATATCTAAAAATTATTTTGAATATTTTTATTTTTATTTTTTTAAAATACAACATAAAACAAAAATAGAAAATAAAAAATAAAATTTAAAGTAATTCCAAACAGCCCCTCAATAGTTAGATTGAAACTCTGCACTGCTCTGCTAATTTTCTTAGATTGTATGTTGAGGTTTTTGATTCATCCTTTAACTATTTTATTTTCGGAATTAGACTCGATCTAATTCAAATTATTGAGAGCAAATAAATAAAAAAAATAAAACTTGGATGAACACGTATATTGGTTGGAAACAACGCGAAGAATCATAAGATATCAAGTTAAAGTCTTAATTTAGAGGAATTATGGGAGTATTTGGTCAAATTTTGAGTTGAAGAAGCACAAGTGAAGCATTTCCAGTGTTATCTCGAGTTGTTTAACTGGATAGGTGACAGATGAGCGAACCTGTGCAACTTGCCGTCGATCTGTCAGGGATCTTTTCTATCAGCTCAAGCAATCAAGAATAAGGGTAAGATTGCAATTCTCATTTAAATTTACAATTTTTTTTATATTTTAATTTTTGAATAATGTATATATATGTATATTTCATGATGCAAGATGCGAGTGATGGATGCTCTTCTGGAGTATTGTGAAGAAATAGAAGATCAAGAAGAACAAGTGAGTAGCAAATAGGACTGTGCAACTCGCGTTCGAAATCGGCTCGTGTTCGAAATCGGCCCGTGAACAGTGTGTTCGTGTTCGGCTCGATTTAAATATTTGTGTTCATGTCCGACTCGAAATTGACTCGTTAAACTAAAATTGAGAAAAATAGATGTAAAGTGTGGGATTCGAATCTGCATCAAATCTATATAAATAAAGACACTAACCACATTGCCACATGAGGTGTTATGATTTAAACTTAGACATAAATATTTATAATATATTATTATATAAATAATATATGTAATATATTGTTATATAAAAAGTTATATAATTTTTTTTTTCGAGCCATTTCGAGTCGAACACGAGCTGCTTAACGAGCCAAACACGAGTTGTTCACGAACAACGAGCCAAATTGACAGCCCTAGTAGCAAAGTTTAATTTTTCTGAAAAAGCAGATCTTTTTAATGAAGAAAAGAATTACAGATTTTATTTATTTGTTTTCTAAATCTTACTTTTTTCCTCTCTTGTTTTTGCAGTGCAAAGAAACAGTTTACAAGTTCGCCCCTCTGGTGCTGGGCCAACTGGAGAAACTGAAGACAAGTGATGTCTGTCGCATTATTGGCTTCTGTGATGAGGGGATATCCATTTGAGCTGGCTTGAGTGCAGAGAATGAATGATATGAAATTTTCTATTTATGAGTGCGATCGATCTAAATAATGAGGATAATGTTTCTGCTATTGAAAAAAATCTTAAATAATATTATTGCTGGTATATTTTTGTAGTGATATATTATCAAGAAATAAAAATGTAGAAGCTATTTATATTGTAGAACTGAAGATATAAAGGTTTTCATGGAACATATTGCACTTGAAACATTGTTTCTTACAAAATCGCGACCCAGTTGCATCAATTTTTAAGTTCTCACTCATATACCAGTGTTTTTATTCTTTTCTTTTTTTTTTTATTTTTAGACGAGTCATCAGTTTGTCCATGGTTATAAACTTCTCTTTTTCGAATAAGTCTCTCTTCCGGATCATGTGAGTGATTAGGGGAATAGATGAACTGGAAGAGACGGACATATGATAAAGACAACAAACAAGAGAAAGAAAAAGTGGAGAGTCTGCGTGCGATAAACCTCACAATGATAGGTCGAGTATGTCCATCCAAACAAGATTGGGCGAAAGTACGTTGGACCAATATCCGCGAAAGAATATCTATATAAACTACCCACAACCAGAAATTAAAGTGTGTTTGTCGGTCTAGAGTACTCCCTAGGGGATATATCATACTTGTTTAATTACAACTTGGGGATTGTCCAAGAACAATCTTAATCCGCGGAGTTTTATTTACATCAAAAGTAACAACTAGCACAGGACTATCAAATAAAAGTTATTTCACAGGGGAATGCTCCATTGCTTTTAAAGCTCCCTCAAAGCCTCGTTGTGGAGAGTGAGTTTCTCACGGTCCCGCATGGGTAATTGACTCATCGACATGCGAAACCTGTAAAACAACCGAATCAACGTGACGGGGAATCCAATTACGTCAAACCACATCCGGGTCATAAGGGTGGATGACATATTGTCGTATCTCAAACGAGCGATATTTCATTGATAATTGGGTCGTAAAAATGATATCAATAACAGCAAGGGAAGCAACAGGGCTCAAAGTGGGTAGTAAAAGAAAAGGAAGAGTAATCCCTAACAGGGAGAGGTAGCCGGGTCAGAGTAACACAGACCCGTCTTCTCAAGCTACTAGGACCCTAAGTCTACATGGTCGTGAAGTTAGTCGACCCAACTTGTTCAGAGATCCCTGATCAACAATCCATGAATTGCGTCGTCTGCAGGAACATCGGTAGCCCTAATAACAAAGGAAACAAGACACTTTTTGGGTGCCTTGGTTCTTCTGCAGGAAGGAGTCGTTCGAATTTATTGATTACTGATTGAAACCTCAGGGTCTCACATGTCTAGATTTAGTGACCCATTATTTTAAATGACTGAGCTTTTTTAGCGAGAGCATGCATTTTGGGCAAAGTGCTATGCAACTAAACATGATTCAAAATTAGCATTTAATTATACAATCAGTAAACAACATGCTATAAAAAATGAAATTTAAAACTACCATGTTCTTATGGTATTACCAAGTTGTACATATATTGTTGCTTTTTTTATGTTAGAGAATAACTGTCACATGATTTGAAATAGAACCCACATATGAATATTGGATATCCGTTGGAGCACCATTATGTTGTAAAAAATATATATAAGTCATTAAAGGTAGTAGTAATTATGGTAGTTATTAGATATTTTCAAATGTTAACCCCTTCTTCGTTATAAAAGCATCGTCATGTATAATCTGAACTTATCATTTCGATCTTGTCTTTGAAGAAGTTTTTTTCTTGCTTGCTTTTTGCTGGGATCATGCATTCCCTTTGTTTGTTTTGATGGATGGTAGCACTGATGAAAAAATAATGTGGAAACGTATAAATTCACACAACAACAATCAAACAAAAAAGATTTACATGGCTTGACGTGGAATTGATTTACCTATGTCCACAAGGAAGGAGATTTCACTAGCACTGGATGAGGGAGAAAAAAAGACAACTTGGGGTTACAATTCAACACTTCTCAACATCATACACATCTTACATGAGTCTTATATCCTTTGTATATAAGAGGATTAGGCCATACAAGGAAAGATCCAAAAAAGAAACAAATCAATTATAATATACCCATTAAATAAAAGCCATAAATACAATGATCTTCATCTCATCTCTTACTTCCAAATAAGTGAGAGATGACCAACTTAGCTCCAACTCCAAATTAGCTGCACCAAGATGGTTTCCTACGTACTCCCCCTCTCGAAGGGATCAAGCCTCACATAGTTCTTCAAAATGCCAGACTGAAGATTCAGTCCCGAGCTTGGTTGTTCACCAAATTCCTACAATAGGTGAACTTACGGGCTGGTAGCAACTTCGTGAGCATGTCCGCTAACTTCTCCTTCGCATCCCATCTTCTTGAACAAAAACTTGCTTTCTTTAATCAAGTCATGAACAAAGTGATATCTTCCATCAATGTGCTGGGTACGAGCATGATGAAGTGGACTTGTAGCAAGAAAATATTGCACTATGACTATCACAGAAAACTGTGAGAGAATCCTTATCAACTCACAAGTCATCTCATAGGCCCTACATCCATATTGATTCTTTCATCGCCTTCGCAGCTGCCATTTACTCAGCCTAAGTTAGACAAAGCAACAATTAATTGAAGAAATGTCCTCCAACCGACTGGACCTTCTGTTAATGTGAATAAATAGTCCTTCATTAATTTTCGTATAACCATATCACTTGCATAGTCTGAGTCAGTGTAGCCTATACACAAATCTGCATTGGATGACTGCCTCTCAAATATCAAGCCAACATCAATTATACCCTTCAGATACCTCAGAATATTCTTCGTAACTTGCTACTGACTCCTTTCTGGATCATGCATGAACATGATCATAACACCAACTTCTTGTACAATGTCTGGTCTAGTGCAAACCATGACATACATCAGATTGCACACTGCATTAGCATAAGGAATCGTTCACTTATCATTCATTTCCTGATTATCTTTAGGACACTGATTTGAACTCAAAACCTTTCGAACATAAGCTTCTTGCAAAAGCCAAGCCTTTCTAATTGTTTTATCTCTATAATCTCCTTGCTAAGAATTCTACGAGCTTAATCCAACTCCTTCATTTCAAAATATTTGGTCAGTTTATCCTTAATCATAATAGCCTTAATCTGACTTACAAATGAAATCAACATATCATAAACATATAGAAGCAAGTAAATGAATTCACCATTGGCCAACTTACTTCTTAAAATATGCACGCACAATGATCATACTGGCTCCTTGTGTAATCATGTCCCCTCATGAACTAATCAAAATTTTTATACTATTATAGTGGTGACTGCTTCAACCCGTACAAGGACTTTTTCAGCTTGCAAAATAAGTCTTTTGATGCTCCATATCTAGAAGGTTGTATCATATAGATCTCTTCTTGCAAATCTCCATGTAGAAATGCAATATTCACATCGAGCTGTATCAAGATTGGATCGTACCATGCTACTAGTGCTAAGAGAATATAGATTGAGGGGTGCTTGACCATTAGAGAGAACACTTTGTCATAATCAATACATTTGTATTGTACAAAGTTTTTTGCCACTAATCTTGTCTTGTACCGTACATCAACTCCGTGAGAATCTTCCTTCCATACATACACCCATTTGCACCCAATGGATTTCCTCCCAAGAGGAAGCTCATCAACCTCCAAGTACCATTCTTCCTAATAGACTCCATCTCTTCATCCATTGTTGCTCTCCAGAGATCACATCCTAGACTGTCCACCGCTTCTTTCTAGTGATAAGTAATTTTTGCCTCAGTGAATAAAAGTGCAAACACAATGTGATCCCTTATCCAAGCTGGTTTTGGTACATTTTGATGTCTGATTCTGATCCTAACAATAGATTCCCAAGCAAGAATCTTAACCTCAACACCTTCTTCCACCTCTTCTTGAGAACTATCAATATATACCTCATGAGTTGCAACTGAGTCAAATATTTGAGTCAGAGAGGAAGAACTCTATGAAATAAATGGAGTTGCATCAAACTCTAACTTTTACTGCACATATGTGGTCCCAATAGAACTCTCTACCCGCTTTGAGTCTCAATCTTTTAACAAGCTTACCTCGTTGAATGTAACATTTTTGCTAATGACAATCTTTTTTTTTATGGATCATATAACTTGAAGCCCTTGACTCAAGAAGTCAATAAGGATTGCATTCTTTGCTTGTGGTTCCATTTATCCTTCTGCTCGTGGTGGTAAGCTAGACACCCAAACACTCTCATATGCTTATAATCTCTACCAGGATGCCCTGACCACAATCTGATTCATCCTCTTTGCAACTCCGTTCTCTTATGGTGTATTTTAGCAATGAAGTGGTGTTATATCCAAGCTCCCTAACACTCTTGCAAAATACATCTGAAGTGTATTCGCCCCTATTTTCTGATCTGATAGACTGGATCTTTTACCAATTTGAGTCTCAGTCCACTTTTCCAAGTTATAAAAATCTCCATCATTTTGTTTTTGCACTTCATGGTGTACACCCAAACATACCTGGAGTAATCATCAATAAAAGAGATAAGGTATCTTTGCCCACTGAATGACATTGTCTTCGTCAAATAACAAACATCTATGGGAACATAATCTAAAATATCTTTTGTATTGTAGATGACAGTCCGAAAAGATACATGTGTCCTCTTGTTAAACACACAAGAAATCAATTTTACAGGTTATTGCTCCTTTGAACCAAAGTTTGAAGTGAAACCTCTCCAGCATGAGCTAGCTGCATATGCCACAACATAATGACGTTAAAAGAATTAACATCAATAACAGTCATTCCAGTCGTTGTATTACCCAGAAAATAGTAAAGATTGTGATGACTTACTCTCTTCATAAAAATCATTGCTCCACGACATATCCTCAGAACTTCTGCTTCAATAACTATCTTCTAGCTCTTAGACTTTAAAGCCGCAACTGACAATAAATTCTTTTTGATATTTGAAACATGTTTAACATTAGTTAACTCTCTCACAGTATTATCATGCATCCTGATAAAAATAATCCTTACATCAATAGTATGACAAGTTTGATTGTTGTCCAAAATCACTATACCGTTATCTAGTTCCTTATACGTACAAAACCAACCTCGATGAGACAAATATGATAGGTAGCACCTGTATACAAAAACCAACACGAATCATCTGTAAATAAACTGCACGTAATGATACATATGAATCCACTTCTTCACATCTTTCCATAATGACATTGGCTTTCGCCTCAATGCAACATCCTTTCCTTTCTCCTTTTTCTTCGGACAATCTTTCTTTCAATGACTAATCACTAACCATAAATCATACTAATTTTTTCCAAGACTGCGCCTAGGAGACTTGCCCTGCTTTTGAGAAATGTCACTGCTACCACCTTTCTTTGACCAATTATTATTATTATTCTTCTTCTTCTTAAATTTATCACGTTTGAGTGTAAGTACCTCAGCTAATTCCATCCTTATAGACTTCTTATCCTGTCGACAAAACTCATGATTCAACAGCTTCATGGTCACTTCGCCATAATTCAAAACATTCTTCCTATGAATGAGGTCACAGTGAAGTTTTCATACTTATTCGGGAGCGAATTTAACAGAAGAAGCATCATGTCTTCATCTCCAACATCCTCATCCAAATTTAATAAATTTGTCAACAGCTTTATGAATTCATTCAGGTGATTATCAATAGTACTCCACTGTCTCATTTGAAATCTATAGAGTCTACGCGTCATATGGAGACGATTCTCCACGTTCTTCGTGAGATATTTGCTCTTCAGCATCCTCCACAATTTTCCTTTAGAAGTCTCCATCATAATCTTATATTTGATTTACTATGACATTTCAGCAAGCCACGAGCACTTTTATTTATCTTCAACTAATCTCTCTCTGACATCTCTTCAAAACATTTCTCACTATTCAATACTTTCTCGATATTCAAAGAAAACGGTGCATACATCATCTCACAGCGTCACTTGCCAAAGTTTCCTTTGTTGTCAAATTTTACCACATCAATTTTAGTAGAATGCGTAACCATCTATTGAATCAACGATTCCATTACCACAACAGACGTCGAAAAACCTGACATCATGCTATCAATTATTTCTGTCACTTTTTCCCAAAAAAAATTCTCCTAGAAGAATAACTTCTCAAAAGCTCAACTCCACTCGCCCCTAAACGGAAAGGAATGAAAATTCTTGAAATTCCTCCAATTCCCAAAACAAGCTTTCAAAAAGCTTTGCTAAATAAAGCTTTCTTTTTTCTACCTTTGTCGTTTACCGAAATTCCATTATCTCAAGAAGCTAAGCTTTTAAACTTTCCAATTGGAATTTTATCTAGCTTGCACCTGTTTTCATTAAAGGAAACATTCCTTTTAGCTTAATGTACCACCGAATTTCCTCCCTGCTACATATGATTCTAGGTGAACCTTCTGAACAGGTCAGCTCCTCATGATCCTTGCCGCCGAAACCGCCGGTACTTGTTGGAGTCGCCGTCGTAACCTCTCTGAAATTTTGCAATCGTTTGAACCCCGCGTCCAAGCTGACAATCACGAACCCAAAAGACTGATGCCAATTATGATGCGAGAATAACATGAAAACATAGAAATTCACACAATAACAATCAAACACAAAATATTTACGTGATTTGGCGTTAAATTGATTCGCCCATATCTACGGGAAGGGCTATTTCACTAGCACGGGATGGGAAGAAAGAGAGATGACTTGAGACTACAACTCAACACTTCTCAACACGAACAACTCTTACATGAGTCTTATACTCTTTATATAGAAGACGATTAGACAATACAAGAAAAGACAAAAAAAAAAATGAATCAATTATAATATATCCATTAAATAAAAGTCATAAATACAACAATCACAATAGAGAGATTGAACATCCCAGAAGAATGATGGTGTCCATGAAACAAAGAAAGGGAAAGGAAGAGCACGGCAAGGAATATCAATTTCAAAAATTAAAATCGGAATTTAGCAATTGCTTCTATTTCAAGCTAAAATAATTAGAACATAAGATCAATTTCAAAGCTAAAATTTTGCTCTATTATTTTGACCAAATAATACACTCCTCTTCCTTCTTTTTTTTTTTTTTTTTTTTTTTTTTTGTTTTTTTTTTTTTTGTGGAGGAATTGCCTTGCTAAAGAACAAAGAAATTCAGTTTAATATAAAAAAATATATTTCTTCAAAAATTAAATGCCAACTGCAAAAAAATTTCTCAAGGAACTTGTTCTAAATGTCTTATAAGATATCATAAAATTTAAAAACCTGCAAACTTTATCTTATTCTGTAATCAAATCTATAAATTGAACAAAAGTTGATGCATCCAAGTAAAGTTGATCAAATTATATTAAAATTGCTTACAATCTTGCATGTCAATAAAATTAACAGTCTAAAAGAAAACTGATGACTTTGGTCATATATTTCCAGGACATGACATCAGAACATTAATTGAATGAATAATTGATTATCTTATGATGAACAAGAATATTGCATTCTTAGAAGTACAGAACAATAGGACTGATCATATATAGCACCTTCACAACAAACTCTTAAAATTTTTACACCATGTTTTTTACATGATCAAATCTTCACAAATTTGATGTAAAGATCTTGAAAGTTAAATTTATTTATTCTGCAAAGCTTCACTCATAATCTGAAACACTTGCCGCATAACATTACTATCCACTTTCAGACTTTGTGGCTCCAGAAAGTCAGCAGACAAAATTCTTCTGAGACACCCAACAAAGCAGCTTCAATGTGTTCTTCATGCACGTATTTAGCAATCTCCTTCCTGTACTCGGCTGGAAGCCTGATGTACAAAAGAAAATGGTGGAACCGAGGTGATAAACTCAGTGAGCCAGACTTTGTTTAATGCCATGTTAGCAAAGTCTTACCACAGAAACATCAGCATCTATGGAGAGGAGCAGGATACACATCAAGCGGTTGATAGTGTAAACGAGGATTCACCGGAAGCGGTCCCTCCTGTAAAAGGTCAACAATTCATGTAAACTTGAACCTGATTGATATATGCATTAAAAAAACAAAAAAAAAAAAAACTTCATTTACATGCATAGAAAAAAGTCCACTATAACAGCAACGAGAAGCTTTTATCCCACTAAGTGGGGTCGGCTACATAATCTTTTTTCTCCATTGCGTCCTATTGAGTGTCATATTTTCATCTAGTTCTAATAAATTAAGATCATGTTTTATACAACATGCCCAAGTTTTTTTAGAGTTTAGAATAAAGTCCTAATGAGTAAAATTAGATGTATAGAAACATTGAGAACATGATGTAGCATTAAACTGAACGAAAATGTAAATGTATGGTTTGTCCATTAAAGGTGCAATATAAAAGATAGGAAAATCACGTTTAATAACAAGCCATGGATCATATACAACAGCAATAACAACCAGTGTTGAGATTCAGACATTATTTATGGTTCTATTGCTAAAAAGGGAATATTGAAGAAGTTTAGAAGTTTATTTGTAAAACGTTGTAATACCCTAGGTTTTTGAATAATTCTTTCCATTACAATAACAAGTGCTTATCCTACTAAGTGAGGTTTGCTACATGAATCTTTTTTCTCTATATTGTGTCCTATTGAGTGTTTCCTATTGAGTGTTATATTTTCATTTAAATCTAACAAATTAAGATCATTTTTATACAACATTCCCAAAGTCATTTTAGGTCTACCTCTACCTCACTTAACATAAGTCAAATCCAAAACAACTACTCTCCTAACTGATCATCAGATAATCGATGTTTAATGCGACCAAACCATCTAAGACGACTCTCTAATTTTGTCAGCCACAAGAGCTACACCAACCCTTTCACATATATATTTATTTCATGTTTTGTCTCTAAGTGTAAAGCCACTCATCCATCTAAGCATTCTCATCTCAGCAACACGACTAAGTTTTGAGCAATGAAACATAAACCAAGAATATATCTGAGCAGTAGTTGAGCAGTAGTTCTTTCTAAATTATATATATATATATATATATATATATTGATGTATATAAAATGAGAAAAAATAGCAAGAAACATACCTCTTCTAAGTTTACTTGAAATGGTTCTATAAAATCTTCAAACATAACAGGAGTCAGATGCTGCATTCTTTCCTTGACTTCCTAAACAAAAGATTAAAAAAAAAAAAAAAAAAAAAAAAAAAAAAAAAGGATTAACCAAACTAGATCCAAACTGCTGTCAGGAAAACTGCAAAATGAAATTCCAAATACTCCAATTATTTCATAAAAATGAAGCTTTTGTTAAACAAATCTATCAAAGATGGAAAACACCGAGTCTAGAATGCGCTTATTATAATCAGAACAGCAAAAAATCAACCATGTAGAATCCACATCTTGAATCCAAAAGACAGGATCTCAGATTTAACCATGAGCAAAACAAAAAAAAATGGATGTTCAGTAAAAAACAGAAAATCAAGTTTAGCATACGTAAAACATTTAAGATGATGTAGCAACTATCACACCTCGTTCATCATCTCTTCTCCTACAGGAAGGACCAGCTAAATTTGGATCTTAACTTTGTTTTTCAAGACACTCTAGTTTTTTTGTACTTTTTATTTTTCTTTACCTTTTTTTTTCTTTGGGTTATATGAAATGTAATTTTTAAGTTAAAATAACGTTAATAAAAGGTATTTGATTTGATGAATCTCTAACATTGAGGTTTACCATTAAAAACTAGTTAAGCTGATATAGACAGAGGAGCTATTCTTAATGTTTTCGAGATAAACTAGTTTAATAGCTGAAAAAAGGAGATGAAACAGAAGTCATAACCGATGCTAATAGAAATATATAGCACCTTATTTCTCAAAATGCATTTACTGCAAATGGTTGGGAGATCCTCTTTATTAGACGTATGGGCCTTCGACTCCTTTAAGAATTCACCCCTTTTAAGTAAAGGCAAGGTTTTAAAACCTCCAAATAGAAGAGAATCCAGTCATTGATTGCAACCAACATCTCAACCAGAGGTAATTCAATTACCAAAATGTACCCAAATTGCAACATATATTAATTTGGGCTCAGATTAAGATGACAAATAGAAAAAATACAAAGTAATCACAGATAATATGGGGTAAAGTCAAATCTACCACCTTAAGATAAAAAAAATAATCCATTTAACCTCAGAACAAATCAGTTGAGGGTGACAAATTTAATATTAACTTAATCTCATAAATAGAAAATATCATATCAAACATGCCTCTAAGGTCACTCTCAAGATTGTCTCATACCATAAAAAATTTCACACGTATCCTCTGACAATATGGTGTCATCACTAATTGGCACAATAATGGAAGAGCTTTTGATTTGGGTCTTCTAACAGCATGATTTGCCACAAAAGGAATCATTTTATTACAATCATGATCAAAGCTTTGATATCCCCCAATAGCTCAGCTCCCATTAGTTGTTAATCATGGGATAAACTACATAGAAAATAAAGCCCTCTATTAGGTAAGATCAACATAAAAAGTAATGAATTATCTCTTCAGATAAATATCTACCTCAATTCTAGAAGGTCCCTTTAGATATTGGAATTCATGAAATTTGGTTAAAGTTGCTTTGACTTGAGTTTGTATGTGAGCCAAGCCAGCTTATGATTCAGTTCAAGTTCGACTTGTTAACGAGTTTGCGAGTTGAGCTTATCAAGCCAGGAAGAAAGTGCAGTTTCCTTCTGAAAACAGCTGGCCTTGACAGCTAACCAGCAGGAAATAGAGGAGGAACTTCGAATCAACGAGGTGCAGATGGCGAAGGGTATCCACCACCAATTCCTAAGGAAGCGAAGAGGCTACAGCACTCCGGAGAGCGAAAATTCAGAGAACTAACTCTCAAATTCAGAAACTTAATAAAAACTCCCAATAAAAACAAAATACAACATATATATAAATCCATAATAGTAAAGAGCCTAATTAGAAAGTAGAGAATTAGGGAAGAACCAAAAAGGAAGGAAACTTGCAGGAAATATAGCAAGAAAATAAAAAAGGAAAAAAATATGTCTTGGTTCGGTCCAGACACCGTGATTGCAGGAGCCGAATACGGAAAAATCACGGTACCGTAGGAAAGGACTGCGTTCCAGGTCAATATGGGTTTGATTGGAAAGAAGTAGGCTTCTTTGCAACCGCATTGCTTATAAAAGGACCTGAAAATTGCAATTCTAATTAGTGTATCTGCATGGGAAAACAATTGCAGCAGCATGAAAAAGAATTCTAGGTTATTTCAAGATTTCTAATTTTTTTTACTATTTTTTGATCCATTTAAATTTTATTGCATTCAAATTACTATTTTTTTATTTTAAATTAGATTATAAAACTTTTAAGATTTTTCTATATTTAAATTCAATTAAATTTAATATTATCTAATAAACCTTTTTATATAAATAGAAGTTGAATGGATGCCACTTAGATTTTGAAAAACATTTGAGTGATCCCTACTTGTCCTCTCTATCATGCCTTTTTATTACACCCAATCTCTCTTTCTCTGAACTTGCCAATCAGTAACAGATAAAACGGCACTACTCTCAATGGAAGCCACTCTCTCTCCTTTTTGGACATTGCAGTTATCAAAAATCACTTCCATAAGCTAGCAAAATTCTTTGAAAACACCACAAAATAAATTTTAACCATATGAATCTCTTCACACTCATGCATATATAGGTAAAGCATATACTCCACAACACTATAATCTTCATATATTATATATTATAATATGTGGTATCATGAAATGTATGTCCTATGATGATTGGGCGACTCTGAAGTAATAATATCCACGTTGGCTCACCATTCAACCAATTCAGATCACACAACACCAATTTCTCGTGGGAATATCGGACCATGACTAGTACTTAATCAAGCTATAAATGAGTTGAACTATACTAGCGTCGGCCGTTACTTTTTTGAAATGATGATTTTTGTAAATATGAAAATAGCTTTAATACAAATACGATTTTTGAAAGCAACATTTTAATTTAAAAATAGATGAGACCAAACGAGTCTCACATATTAAATAGTTTTGATGGTTGAGCGCGATACCATAAGTAATACATTATCCCGAAGGATAAACATACCACTTGATAGTAGACTCAACCACCTAAACTAAGAAGTTTGTGACATTCATTTGGTCTGCAAAACCTTTTATGTATGACCGACAATTTCTCCTACCTAATATAAGGATTAGATAAGGTTTATTTTACCTGAGTTCCAATTTCCCTATAGAGGCAAACCCCTATAGTTAATTACATCTTAAATGACCGAGGTCACTTAAGAAAACTCTCGATTAAGATCAGTGGTTTTGCCTTTTCAGATTTCAAAGTTTAGGTTTCCAAGATTTGACACTAGAAAATCAAACAGAAGTGGCTCAAAGAGGAACAGTTATTTTAAGGAATCCAAAGGAATGAAGGGTATGAGATATCACATATCCAGGGGAAACCCTGGTGATTTCTCAAATATCCTTATGTTTGGCTTTATGTCTGTGAAATGATGTTATTTAATGTTTAATCCTGCAATTTATTTTAGAATTTATGACTTACATTCACACGATATACGATCGTGCAAATAGCCTAGAAAGATAGAAGGATTTATACCGTACCGTACGATAATCTCGAAATCCTAAAAATGTTAGGACTTATAATTGCACAACAGGGTTATGCAAAAGACTAAAGATAAGATGAGGATTTACATTGCGCTAAGCAAACCACCTCGAAATCCTATGGTTTGTTATTTAAACTAAGGAAAATGCTTAGTTGACGTGAACTTGTTTTGATGCTGCAGATACACCTCGAAGTTGCTCCTCTGTGTGTCCTTGTAGCGCTGCCCATGGTGTTCGCTCCAAGCTCCCCGTCGTAACACCTCCGGATTCGATGTTAATTTTAAGGGTATATGCAATTGTTTAGTCAACGCTCTGCTGTCGGGTACCTCCTATAAAACCAACTATCGCTCTCCTATTCTAAGGTATAGTGTGTAAAAATAGCAGTAGCAGGTAGAAGTATAGTAACAGAATTTTAAGAAATGAACTAGTATGAATTGCATCAACAAAAGAAATACTACTTAGAATACTCAAGAAAGAGTGGAGTGTTAAATGACCCATGACGAAAGAAAACTAGAGAAAATCGGCAAATGACTCACGACGGAAATCTCGAAGTAAAAACAGCAAACGGTAACTCAAGGAGAGCACTGAAAAGCACGAGAAGATCCCGAAAAAAGACCACGAGTGCTTTACCAAAAGTTTCAATATAATCCCACGAAAAATCCGAAGAAAAAAAACCGCAAGCACTTGGGTCGGGGCTAGGCTCAGATATTATATATTTGTACTCGATGGACGTGGAAAGCTACTATCGGTCACCCGAATGTATAGAATCTGTCACTCAACTAGAAGAGTGTCCTGCTAAACCTAACTTAGGAGGGTACTCCTTAGCCCGGTACTGGTAATCAACAAGTGAACAATCAAATTACAATATATTTAAAATTTATATTTTAGCATGCACGTGAATTTCAGACATACAAAAGGAAGTTATATCAATTTTGTAGTAAACATATTTTTTTATAAATATTGTATATGTTCTTATCATGTTCTGTTCTTATCAATTTTGAAAAGTTATGATTGTCCACGAGTCGATCACGCCGTCGGGCGTATGACTGCCAATAAGCTAAGAAAGTACGGGTCCCCCGCTAGTCTTGCGTCGGCGAATGATACTATCATTCTACGATTCATCAGGTCTCAGGATTGGGTCTTGATATCGTAGGGTAGAATATCATTCTGCTCTACCACCGGTGTGTCTTTGTCATTATCGCCCTAAGCCCCAAAACAAGACTGATCTACTTGCGACCTTGCTTGATGGTTTCATATATAGCAAAAGACTATATATGTACACTTATGTATCAGACATAAGCATCGAAAATCGAACCAAAAAGCAAGGAAAAAAAAAGGAGATGAGAGAGAGGAGGAACTGATCCACCCAAAAGATCGAAAAGGCGAAGGGTGAATCAACCCTCAAAACTTATGACAAAAAGACCTGAAAATGAGGGCCCAAGATGCTTGAATCAACCCAAAAAAGATATCATTTTCTCAAATTTAATAAATTGATCAACCCAAGAAGGGTATCCCTTACAAATCTTGTT